TTGGTGATTAAAAGCATTGGCTGCTCTTCCACAGGACCAGAATTTGATTCCCAGCACCTGCCTGGTTAGCCACAGTCTGGTCTGTAACTCCAGAGGGTCTCATGGCCTCTTCTGGTTTATGTGGGCACTGCACGCACATGGTGCATAGATATACATGCAGGCAAAATATGCATGCACAGACATTAACAAAACTACAGGAGGGCTGGTGGAGTCCCATGGTCCACATGAAATGTTTCCTATCAAAGTGTTTCCTGGCTTTCCAAAGGCCTGAACTGAGATTAGAAAAAAGTTATGGAGAGTTTGAGGCCAGCCTGATCTACAGAGCTAGTTCCAGGACAACCATAGGAGCAACACAGAGAAACCCTGTCTTGAAAGACTGGGGGAAAAAGCGTTATGGAGACATTCATTTCAACTTCCCTTTGTTATACCAGTTTGATGAGGAAGTGGGCTGAGCCCTGGGACAGTCAACGCTGTCATAGAAGATACACTCATGAACTAAAGGCACACAAGCTACTGGCCAGTGTTGTGGGGAGAACTTCTTAGGTGGCTCAAATGATGCATTACTATTGAGGGCCTGGGTTATAGCTCAGTCAGTAAAGTGCTTGCCTAAGATGCATGAATTTGAATTCGACACCTGATACAACCAAGTGTGGTGGTATATGCCTGTAAGTCCAGCACCCTAGAGGTAGGGGTGAGAGGAGCAGGCATGTAAGGCCATCCTGGCCCACACAGTAATTTAAAGGGCAATCTGGACTATATAAGACCTTTTCTAAAAAAAAAAAAAAGAATCAAAGAAATGCTGATGAACATTGAACATTCATGGTGGAGAGACAAAGGTGACAGTCAGGGAAGCACACCAAATTATTAGAGTCTTTCATGAAGGTAAGAAAAGAGGCAAGATGATGGGACATGGGGACATGAAGGATGCTAAGTCAAGTAGGACAGACTGAGAGTTTGGGATCTGAAAGTTTGAAGGGATGAAGAGAGGAATGGGGAATTTAGACCTTCCATTAGAATAAAAAGCCAAATTAATGTGGATATTTTTTCCCCAGGGAATTTACGGGCATGACTGCAGTTTTTGTTTTTATTAATATATGCCTTCCAAAAGAAAAAAAAAAACAAAAGCATGTCACAGGCAAAAAGCTGAGAAAGACAGATCTAGTTGCTTCAGACAGAATGGCAAGCTATCAGAATCAGCATGCACACACACATGCACATGCGAGCGTGCACACACACACACACACACACACACACACACACACACACCAGCAGCAGCAGCAGCAGCAGATAAGCCAGACAATAAAGGAGGGAAGGATGAAGGAGGAACGGGGAAGAATGACCTGATGGCCACAGCTCAGGCAGGAGACAGCAGTGTGCTTTACGGCAAAGCATTTTCACCATCTCCCCTGGTCTGCTCTCTGGAATGGTTTCTGTTTTAATGACCTCCTTCTCTTGGAAAATAAATTTCTGTTCAGATGGATTTAAACACCAAATGTTGAACATTATTTAGCTCATTTCGTAGAATTACTGAAAATTATGTTGCAGAAGATAAGGGCAGAATTAGGTCTGAATTCCAGATCTCTCTTATTAGAACACGAGGCTCATGGACCACAGGACACAGAGTTTGGAGGAACTGTAGTAATTGACCCACTAATGACTGTCAGCACTGTCCAACCCAAGAAGATGAAGGAGTCGACAACTGGATGCATGTTGTTTATGGTAGTTTTACTCGACATGTTTTTAAAGCACCTACATGGTGGTTGTGGGAACTGTGTGCTGCCTTTCTCTGTTCTTCATTTGGAATTTAATGTAGACTCCTTGAAGTTTACTGTCAAGAGAGCAACGAGGCAGCATCATTGTTTCGGGACTGGATCAGGCTGCTGTAGGGGAAACAGAGTGGGTATAATGGGAGCCAGAGGAACGTTTCTCAGAGCTGGCCTTCTGGACCAGAGGACACAAGCGTAACCCTGATTCAGGCTCAATCAGGACCTGCCCTGGTCATTGCCACACTCAGGTCTCTCGGGCTGCTTTATTAGGGTTTCTTTTCCCTAGGCAACCAATCTAGCATTGAAGAAAAAGGGTCATCCTCATGACTGTAAAGCAGGTTCCTAAAAAGGTATATAAAGAGGACATTCAAGAGGAACTCAAAACATAGCCAGACTCAGCTGGGGGCCATGATGCCTTCTTCATAGGCGGAAAAAGAATCTCTGAAGATAAAGAAAGGGCGAGGTCTGTCCCTTGCTGGAAGAATACTGAACAGTTGGCAGTGGCACAGCTGTCAGTAGGAAGGAAGCTGCTTCTGTTTCAGGTTGGTAGAGGTGAGGTGCTGGGAAAACATCTTGTAGGAGCACCAGGATCCTGGGGGGCACCCAACCCTGCTCCTACACCAGGTGTCCACTGCTCCCTATTTGGTCTAGACAGCGTGAGAGCAGCAAGTCGGAGCTGCTTACACTGTGCTGATACCAGAGCCACAGGATACTAGAATGTTCTTCAGAGCTAACGGATTTGAAAGAACCCAGTCTCCTACAGGAAGTACTTTGAACTTCTCTCAGCCAATGCCATATCCTCCTCATCAGTGCAGAGAGTAAGCAGCCGAGGGCTGGGGAGACAGTTTAGTGAATAGGATGCTTGCCTTGCAGACACAAGAATCTGAGTTTGATTACTAGACCCTGCGTTGAGTATGGAAGTTCCAGAGACAGGACAATCCCTTGTACTTGCTTCCCCACCAACCTAGCCTTCTTGACAAATCTGAGATTGGCTAATAGATGTTAACCCCCAAAGGGTAGATGGCTTTCCCAAGGAATGACATCTGAGATTGTCCTCTGGCTTCTGCCTGCGTGCACACAATTGCACACCACCAGCACACACACACTTGTGAGCTTGCACATGCATGCACACAAAATAAATTGCTAGTAGAATAACACACGCAACACCCTCATATTGAAGGAAAGAAGCCAGACACAAGAGAAAACGTACTATATGATTCCATTTTTAAGATGTATAAGAGCTGAACAAAGAAATGGAAGCTAAAGTCCCTGAGGAGTGGAGGACGGGTGGATGGCAGAGGAGAGAACGTTGGAGGGAATTGGAAACGCCCCATCTCTTCCTTTGAGCAGCTACTTAGCAAAGGACTACGTATCTGGCAAAATATTCAACTATACCTTGAAGACCCACACCTTTCAAGTGGGTATATATTTTAACTCAAAATGGAAACTAAATACCCTGCCATACAGTCAAAGGGAAGGCTCCTCTTCTGTTAGCTCACTGCAATGTCTCTGAAGAAGGCCACGGAACTGAGGCAGTGGAATCAGTCCGTGAGTATGAAGAAGCCAGAAGTGGAACTGGGCTGGAGCCAGTCTACTGCTTGAGGCAGTGACTTTCACAATAAGAGGACCATCTTGAGGACAAGGATGTGCACTATAGGCCCTGAGCTAAGCTCCATCAGTAATTACCTGCCTAGAGCAAGGAAGGGTCTGGGTGTGGGGTGTTGCACCCACAGATTCAGTTAGAATACAGAATCTGTGAGACTGAGTGACCAAATAAGGATTCTACTTGTTTAATGGCCCTGCCTCATCTTAATGTGTCAGGCTTTGTTGACTCCCCATGGGAGGTCCTCTTGGAGGGGTGTGTGGTTATATGGGTTGCCCAGTGGGGAGAAGGCGTGGGAGGAGTGTGAGGAGGGGAGGGAGGGGGAACTGTGGTCGGTATGTAAAATGAATAAAAAATTAAAAACAGAAACCAAATAGGATTCTAAAACATCAGTATGCTTTCAACAAAAATATGTCCATAACAAAGGAGACAGAATTAGGAGTGGGCTACAGAGAAACTACAGGGGCACAAGCTGGAGTAAGTGTTTGCTATAGGATGGACAGAATTTGAAACCCCAAATAGTGATCCGAAAAAGCAGGTCAAGGCACCCATGGTGGCAAACTTTTGATGGCGACAACCGTGTGACAGAAAGGTGATCGTCAGTCTGTCTTTTCCAAGTCAGTAAAAAGAAGTGGATAGAAGCTGCGTGCCAGCCTGGTGTTGGATGGCAGCACCCACCCAGCTCAGGGCCCTATGACCTCCCCTGGACGCTAGAAACTGCCGGCGAGTGGTGTCACCAAGTTCAGCAAGATGACCTCTGAGAAGGGCTTACACAGGAACGCCAGAGAGGCCCCTGGAGATGGGGCAGTCTCTGACACACCTGTTCATATGGATTGCCAGTCCTTTTGGTCCAAGGTCTCCAAACTCTGGTGAGACACACCCCAAGCTGTGTGGCATCTTGTGCGGCAACACATAGGAGAGCGGAGGAGGTACAGGAGCTAGTAAGCCAGCCTGGCTTAGCCCTTAGAACTGTACACCCTCTCCTGACTCTTGTTGGAGCCTCCGCGCTCCCTTCCCGAACGTGCTCGCTCTCTGTCGTCACACGTTCTGGCCTGAGGTCACAAGGGCCAGAGTTTGCCTGGATCCAAACTACCTGCTAGTTGCTCACTTTTCGTTTTGTCGCTGTGCGGATCTCTAGGTCCCGCAGTAACTCTCCGGAATGAGAAGGTTTTCTGTGCTGCGCGGCTGCCCATACTGCAGCCCGCTCACTCGGGGCCGTAACCCTCCGTATCTTATGGTCTGGGGGAAGCCCCTGCTGTGCCAACGTCGCCAGGTTTATTCGGCCAGGGAAAATTCGTCTGTGTGCAGCCAGGACGCACACTATTTACCCTGGTCTACTGGCCCCTACAGCTCCCGCAGGAGGCAGTATGATTTCGGGAAATTCCCTACTTCAAAAGCCTCAACGGTCCCTCCTCCAAGGCGAGATCCTTTTACTACTGGGCCACTGAGAGTGGCTCAGGCTGAAGACCTACTGACTTGGAGCCGTCTCCCTTGTCCAAAGACAACAGAGGTGAAGACCAAAGAAGAATTTAAAAAAGGGAGGAAAGAAGAGAAGAAGAGGATGAATGAAGAAAAGGAGAAGGAGGAAGAGAAAGAGGAGAAGAAAAAGGGAGGAAAGGAAGAACAGGCGGCAGTGGAGGAGGAGGCGGAAAAGGAGGAGAGCGAGGAGAAGAAAAGGGAGGAAAAGAAGGGGAAGGAGGACGAGAAGAAGAGGGAAAGAGAGGTTTCGTGGGTGCTGGAGGAGACCGAAGGACAAGACAATAAGAAAAGAGGCACACCTAGCAACGATATGCAAAGAGCAACATCTGGAACCTTGGGGGCTAAGGTGGAAATGATTTCTATGAGGCCGACTTGTAGGCCACAAGAGGGGAATCGGCACTCCCAGGATGTACCACCATGCATGGAGGCAACTGCCCTAGTGTGTCCCAGGAAGAACTCCCCTGGCTTTTGCTGCCGCAGCTCTCACAAGTCTAATGGAGACAACTCTACTGGTGCCCCAGGGAGCCCCGATATTCCTGGGCCTGTACAAAAAACGCTTGGCAAGAGAAAAGCACCCAAGTTGGAATTTCTGTTGCCACCCTCAGGGCCGCTGCCACACCCAGCACTGCTACAGCAACTGTGGGATCAAGGTGACCTCCCCCCACCTCCCAAGATTCCACGTATTGACACAGAGAAAGCATCACACATCACAGAGAACATGAAGGGTCAAACCATCCAGATCTCAGATGAAGTGGATGCCTTACAGCCTATGAACCAGATGGCGCCAGTCCACCCTGCCCCTCAGCCTGCCCTGTCCGGGCCCCCACCTGCTTCAGGACCTGCAGGTTTTCTGTCCCTGTCCACTGATGGGGTTTCCAGTCCTGGTCCTCCTGCCTCCACTCCCTTATTATGCCAGGCTGCTGGGCCCCTGAACCCACCTGTCCATTCACCTTCCCTCATACAAAATGCACCCACGATCCCCATTTCTCCTTCAGCTCTCCCTTCTGACCCTCTTCCTCCCTGTAGGCCCAGGCCCAGTGTGGAGACCCCACCAGATGCAAAGAGAGACACGGTCGATTTGGCCACAGTTTTGGGTTCTACCACTTCTTACCCTCCCAGGTCTGGTGCTGAACCTTTGTCTTTCAGTTCACCTTCCTGCAGAATGGAGTCCCCAGTTCCAATGTGTATAACTGACTCCCCTTCTCCCCCCTTCCCTGCTACCTCTTTAGCCCCTTCCCTCAGGAATCCTCCCACAGTCCTTTCTACCACAACCTCCCGTGTCTGTGAGGACATGAGCTGGGAGCTGTCTTTAGAGCCTGCAGTGGTGGACATGGATACCACACCCCCTTCTGAGGCAGCTGCCCTGAGCTCGCCCACAGTCAGCAGGGGTAGCTCTTTGCCATTTGCTCCTAGCCATGGCTCTATGCAGCAGAGGTTGACTGCAAATGCCACAGTGTCCTCTGACCCACTTGTACTCAGTGTCCCCTGCTACACTCACATTGGGAGCAATCTGTACACTCCTGGGCCTACCAATGGGTGGGAGCAGGGAGTGCCTCCCTCTGGGGATCTTGCTGTTTTGATTCAACATGGGCTGGTCCCAGCTCCTTCTCGAACGGTAGCAATAACCCCTCCTCATCCTGCTGAGGACGTTGAATTTATGGATACCACCCCTCCTTCTAAAGCTGCCGTCTTGCCCTCCTCTACTGCTGCCGACCATGTCTCCAACAGTTGTCCTCCCCAAAGAGTTTGGGGGCCTGCTATAGCTTACAACCACACTGGAGGTATCCCTCAGTCCACCTATGCAATGCTAAATGGGCCTCAATCTGATGGCTGTGTCTCTATGAGGAATCCTTCCACTTCAATAGCAGCAACTGACCTAACCTCCCTAGCTGGCCAGCCTGCTGGTGGTAGCACAACTGAAGGACAATATGCAAGCTCCAAGCCACCTGCTAATCGCGGCAGGCCTAATGGCGCTGGGCAGCCCAACGGGACGCCTCTATGTGTTTCCTACACTGCCACGCCCACTTTAAGAATGGGTTCGGGGGACTGTAGCTCATCACCCATCAATGTCGCTCGCAGCACATCAGGACTGGTGAGACCTGTGGTGTCCCTGAGTGGAGAGAACTGTCAGCGTGGCAAGCCCACGCAAGAATACGTGCCCACGCAAGGATACGTGCCCACGCAAGGATACGTGCCCACGCAAGGAT